GCAATCAAATTTCAAGTGAGTGTATTAAGCTCTAGATTTTCTATGATGTTCTTCCTTCAGGGCTGCTGTTCCTCCATTTAGCTCTGCAAGATCAGTGCTGGAAAAGCTCAAGGTAAATGAGGAGGAAAGAATGTCCAAGGTAATTTTAATGCCTCTGAAGTACATCATGTGGGAAATATAAGATTAACCCTTTAACTCCCAAGATCTCATTAGTAATTCTCCTTACTGTCTGCCATATAGTTCTTATGATGTTAGTTCAGAGAATTTAGTGTTGGATCCACTAATAATTCCTTAATTAATATTTTTCTTTATTCTCGTTGCTTGTCTGCTTGATATTGTATTGATATGGTGAGGAGAAATTCTGCCTTGGTCACTCATTGAAGTTAAAGGGTCAATGTGCTTTCAGGGAAGGCTTACAAAATGTAAAGACAAACAGGCTGGGAATGAGTTTCAAGACAAATATTAACATGGAGATATTATTTGATTTAATAGCAAATTCGGAGAAAAAAGAAGAAGAGAAGTCTAGTGCATGCATCAATTAAGTGAATTGTCTTGTGATCATGGGGGAAAAAGAAAAGAAAAATTAATTTATAATTTATATAGCACTTATGCAAGCCTTTAAGAAACAAATGTTTCAAATAAACATGAAATGCTGGCAGGAAAATCCCAACTGGCAGGAGGCAGACCAGTTGGCTATTTACACAGTACAGCTGAAGAGTTAAACTTGGGGGGGACTGAGAACAAATCCAGTGAGTAGCAGGGTGGAGGACTTGAATCCAGGACCACCACATTTCAATTGCAGTACCCTAACCACTCGGGCATGTCGACTCCAAAGTTTCAACCTTGCTAACAAAGGGGTATAAGTTTCTTAAGAAATGGTAGTGCTGCGTCAGTGGGAGAGTACGACAGGGTTATTTAGTATTACTGGCCACTGTAAAGAGTTTCAAAGCTGACCTTCTGAGAACTAAAGCCCTTTGTCAGAGCAAAAGCTCTGTCTCTCAAAGCGTCCTTGATTCTGATAAGGGAGTCAGACTAAAGGTATTTTCTGAGCTTTTAGATCATAATGAATTTTGGTTGTCCTATTGCATTTAAGGTGGCTGCTTTTATAGCTCAATTGTGTTTTCAGTAAGTTTTGTATTTTTGCCCTTTTAGGTATCAAAAGGAAAGAAATGTAAAGTTAAACATCCAGACTTTCTAGAGCTTTGTAATTTAGTGCCTAAAGAGGTGATTAATTTACGTAAGTCAACAATCAATTTCAATTGGTTATTTCTATCCATTTATTACTGTTTCATGATATCATTTTTATTCTTCACTGGGTTGATTTTGAAATCCCTGACTCTGGCTGGATCTCAAAAACACATGAGAATGGATTACTAAAACAAAGCAGTCACTCAGATTCCAAGGCAGTATCACCCTAGAATTACACATTAAGGTTATGAGGTTCAAGGAAATGATCAAGAACTACAGAATCTCTTGATTGCTGTACAAATTCTCCTTGTCAGCACCCAAGGATATGTATAGAGGACAGTTTGGAGAATATGCATACTGATGTTGAGTTGTAAAGGGTTAAGGTTTAAGCTAATCAAGATCAGCGAAATTAGAATGCAAAAAAAAGATATTTAGAGATAGATCTTACTATTTGTGCTGTCAAATTTTTGCCTTCTGTTTTGTTCTGCTCCTTGTATCTAGATGGTAAAATTATGCCTCAATTCAGTTAAGTGCCAAATGAACTTTTTATCATTCAATTTTGGCAATTTTGGGAAGAAATCATGCTTCTGATTTAACATCCAGCCACATCATGCACTCAATTAATTTTGAAATCATGTGCATGATTGCAATCCACCCAGTCAATTGTAATATTATTATTTACTGAGTCTTAACTTCATTTAAAATTAAAATTTCCTTTCAGCATATGATCCCACAGGAAATTATTCAGATTATTCTGCATTCCTTGAGTGGCGTCAGTGCTACTACAAACCAGAGATGAGGAACATTGTGGACCATGATGGCAGGACCATTTGGTTTAAGGTATGCAGCTTGCATCATTTTAAAATACTGCATTTCTTAGAATAAGCTCCCTGGCCTTTTAGCCGAGAGGAGAGGTGCTTATTTGAAGGGGGTGTTTTATCGGGGGCAAGCTCAATGGTAGCAAGGTGACTGTAAACCAAACAGTTGAATCTTTAGGGAGGGTATAACCACCTAACACATATTGTATTCTGCTGAACATAAACTGATGAACAAGTTGACTTTAAATGCAGTGATTTAAGTTTATTTGTGTAAATAATAATTTTCTTGGGCGTGTTTTAATTTTATTCAACAGGGTGAAGCTGGACCTTTGGTGCCTAAAGGCAAGTTATTTTAATTTAAAACTTTTGATTTAAATAGTTAGGAAGTATTAAAAAGAGCATTTAACCCTTCAACTCCCAAGAGTGACAGACTTCCAATTTCTCCTTACATTGTTACTCTGGAATCAAATGTAAAGGTCATAAGAGTAGAGAAAATGATCACCAACTAGAGAGGCTCCTGATTGGTAAACAAATTCTCCTTCTCAGCAACTTAGGAAATGTATAGAGAACAGTATGGAGAATATGCATACTGATGGTAGGGTGTAAGGGGTGAATGACAATGTATAACATTTTACAAGTATTGAAGTTCACGTTTATCACTGTTGCTATGTTGACAGAAGATATTTTTGAGTGCAGATGAACTTAGTAACCATTTAAAAATTACAGAATGTTCACAATCCATTGGTTATGGTGTTTCCTTCGGTGTCAAGCTATACTTACACACTTCGTGAACAGGATTGCTGTTATACATTAAATAAAATTCAAACGGATTTCAATGTAATGATGTTTCAGTTATTTCAACACTTGCCAGGAGTAAAAATCTGCTGATAGCGGAGCTCCAGCGTAAGCGGAGCCTCATACCCAAGAAAGTACATTAACCCATGAAAATCAAGAAAATATGGCCATAACGTCACTGCCATACACCCATCCTCCCCTAATTAGATGTTTCTCTGTATTTTTGTTTAAAGATGCAAAATCAAGAGGGATGCGCATATCTAAAAAGAGGAAAACAGAAAAAGTTAAAAAAGAAATAAATGGAGATGAGGAAACGAAAGCAGTGAGTGAGGTAATTTTGCACAGTATAGCTCACGTTACCTCGTTAAAAATCGCTTTCGAGGTTGCATTTGAATGCACGCACACTTCAGATATGAAAGTTGGAATCAGCTTGTACTTGGTAACACCTTGTAACAATGTGTGTTGTTCGCACTGCTCTGTACTATCTCTTCCAAAGCTTTTTCGGTGTCTATCTATTCCAAAGGTTTTTCGGTGACCCGCTTTTTATTTGAACCCCACAGTTTATTGAGCCTTACCATATGGAAGTGGTGATCAGTAATTTTTATTTGAATAGTCGAACAGTGGTATAGGACCATAGACAGGACCACATGAGAGTACTGCTTAGAAGCTTTATTTGAGTGGTCACACAGTATGGTTTTATCCACCTTGTGCAGCCTATTAAATAGTTTCCACATAAAAGTGCCTCTCAGTAGCTTTCTTTTGAATGGTCACGCAGAAGAGTCTTCTCCGCTGACATAAAAGTTAGACCCACCTTGTACAGGAAAATAACCAGCGCCACATTTAAGTACTGCTCAGTAGCTTCCAAGTCAGGGGTCACTCCAACTGAAGTTACGAGAATCTACTTTGTATTTGAGAGCCAAACCCACAACTTACATTTTGGTTCAATAAAATTTTCCAGGACCATGCTCCACCAAAGAAAAAGAAAACGAAGACACCGCCAAAAGCAACAGTGAAAAAAGGTAAGAGCTCTCAAAGGAACCGTTACCGAAGCGCGCTGTGACCCTGGAAGAACGGACGACTTTGTGGAGGGAGAAGGAGGCAACGGAAATTGTATGTAAACAAACTATTTGGGCACTCGCAGGGGGGAGGGGGAAGGGGCTCTGTGAAGCTTATGCTTGACTCTTACGTTTTTCTTTTGCCAACTCTCACCTGGCTGCTTGGAAGCCTTAAGTTCCGTACTATACTGTTACCCTCCATCTGTATTTCACTAATCGTATCTGATTTCCATTCTTCATCACAATCCAAACCCTATCCTTCACACTGCCGCATACCTATTAATTCTATCCGTAGGAGGGGTCCCCGAAGATGACAACCCGAAGGACAAACTGAGATTCAGTTTTTTTTTTTGTCAATCGGAGGCTATATTTATTATTTTGGTTTTTTGTTCTCCATATCCAGAACCGAAAAAGAAAACGGTTGTTGGGAAAGAGAGTAGAAAAAAGAGGTCGTCTGGAAAGGTAAGCATAAATGAATATTTTTGGGTTACGTTTCCTGTCTGGCTGAGGGAGGCTGTACACAATCTAGTTTTCAAACTGCCGACTGAAACCTTTCCATTTTCACTATTTTCTTCTTGCAGCAGCAGAACGCACCAGTCAGAAGAAGCCTTCGTCTTAACAAAGATATTCGCAAGTAGCTTAATTATTCGGAACACGTAGGCAAGATGCATTGTGGTCAAATTATTAGTATTCACAAAAGGAGGGAAAATTTCATTAATTTCTAAACTGTGTTCAAATTTTCTGTAAACAAAAGCCAAAATGGATGACTTCCTCCCGACGAAAATTCGAGTGACGAAAGAGAAACGGTTTTCGCTCGACTTGGTATACGTGATGTGAAAGCCTGTAAGTACAATGCCGTATGTTCATTTATATTTCAAATTTTTAGGGAATTTTATTACGTTTTCCAGTGCTTACAGATGAGATTATTAGCTCAGGTAAAGTAACAGAGACGCGTAAATCTAATTTGACCGTTGCGTGAGAAACTGTCGGGAACGTCATTAGCCAAGCCCTGTTCCCATGGTAACATTCTTTAAAGTTAATAACAAATAGTCTTCACCACTGTAGTTTTTCTACGGATTAGAAAGGATGAGAAAATAACATATTCAAACTCTCATGACTCTTTTTGCCTTGTTTTTATCTACCGAATGAAAATAAACTGAATTTTAACGGTGAACTACATTTGTGCTGTAGACGGTATCCCGTTTGCAATCTGGTGAAAATTCCAAGAAAGTGACGTCATAAGAAGCAAAATATTAAAAGGAAACCGATCCGTGATTTTTTTAGAACCAGTTGCAAATCAAGTCAAAGAAACGCGTCAGTTAAATGTGCGTAAGTACATTTGCGTGGCTAATTGAGGCCCATTTAGCCAGTTCCACATTTTAAAATCTTGGAACAAGGCGATTTTCACAAATTGTGGGAAACGCTTTGCATTGAGACTTAGTTGCGTAGCGTCTGGTTTCTGTAATGTTCGCTCTCCTTATCAGATATCAGTTTAGTTTGGTTTGGTATATTCGGCTCAGAACTCTCCTTACGGAGTAGTAGAGGTAATTTGCACAGCTTTTGACCGTGACAGTTAGTATAACGTAACTGAAAAAAAAACCTCGAGATTATCGAGTGCGCAGAAGGCTCTATAAACAATAAGGAGGTAGATGGTGAAATTTTAATATCAGTTTCGTGGAAGCCATGGAAAACGGGCGAGGAAGTCATAATGGCGACGCCCCGTTTCCAGTGTACCCACCAGAATTGATGAAACACCAACCAAGTGATAAACATGAAACAGACGATGTTCGACTGAGCTGGCGCAGCTTCAGTACGTCGGCGGGGAGTCCTTCGCGATTGTTCGATTTCCTTCGACTTTCGGGAAGCAATGACTGTTTACAACTCCCTTCGCCTTTTTCACCAAGCCCTCGGAGATTCTTTGACGGCATTGAGACCGGTCAGAGCACGACAGTGGAAGTAAAGAACCACCGACATGAAACAGAGGTCAGTGTTAACATGCAGAATGGTAGAATAAGTAGTGAATTGGTGTGCGACATAGAGCGCGAAATCGAAGCGAAAGAAGTAATGGCTGTGAATTTATGCCAAGAAGACGAAGAGAGCACAGAGTGTCACACCATTTGTATAAATTTACCTTTAGACTTAGAAGGTCCATCAAGCGTTCAACAATCGATTGACAAGGCTAAAACTGAAAATCAAGGTAACACAAGAAACGGCATAACGACCAGGAAGGACTCTACCCCAAAGATTGAGGAGCTGAGGGATCCGGAGACCTTAGCTTTGTTCCGATCTCCGAGACTGTCCCATCCTTTTCCGGTCCCAAATACGAGTCGTTTGGCTTTACGAAGAAAAGTCAAACGCGAAGCATCGCAACCGCTTCCGTCTTCAATCGTAAATGAAACTAGGAGAAATACGAAGGAATCTCTGACCCCAAGGAATCGATCACTATTGCGACCCACAATGAGCCATTTTAGTGCGACAAAATCAAAGAGAGTGTCATCCGTGGCGAATGCGCGTGAGAATGGCAAATTATCATGCGCTAACAGAAGTCCCAAAACACCTGCAATGAATGGCTGGCACTGTCCTTATACCAACAACACGCGAATTCGTCGATCGGCCGTTCGATGGGATCGTACAACTTCTGACATGCTGAAGATGGGACAAAAGGAGCGAGCATCGTGCTTGCAAAGGGACAAATTGGCGAACAGTGCCTGGGAAAATGACGAAATTTTCCTGGAAAGAAACAGAAAGAAAGCTGTCCCCACCTGGCCGAGAATTTCTCAGCCAAATAGTTTAACCTGTCCCGTGTCTTCTCAATTAACTAGGAAATTTCATGACACATCCAACGGGTTTGCGTCATGCAAAGCGAGTCAGTTCCACCCCTCTGTAAACTCAGGAGTATGCTTCAAAAAGCAGAACTCTTTCGTTATTCCCGAGAAATTGCGAGGTTCTCCGATTTCAACGGTGGAGAAAACTCAGAAATCATCGTGGATGTTAAATTCACAAGGAATGAGCGATACTCTTAGGGGCCATAAACCGAGAAATTCCAACTTCAAATCGACAGACGACCGAAGAGAGGCAACGGAATCGTTGCAATGCACGCAAATTTCTACTGCATCACTGCCAAAAATCTGCCGGCCTCGACAGCAAAGACTGTTACGTCGCAAGGCGATCTCGTCGGCAGAAACATCTTCCATGACGTCACATGCCCTACGACCCACTTCCAAGTCCCAATCAGCCAAAGAGAGTCCTTCGTCATCATTGCAGATGTCGCGCAAGAACATCCCTGGGATGGTTCCCAATGCCACACCTTCCCATCTGAGGAATCCTTCAACGGGTTACCTCGCTATTCATCGCCAACTAAAACGCCAAAATTCCAGTTCTTTGTCAACTTCAACGCGTAAGGAGATGTAAACCCAACCGGAAGTTGAATCCAGAGTTTGCGGGTAGTCTGGAGTTAGACTTCAAGCTTGTTCCCAGGATCTCTCTTTTTCCTTTATGAATGAGGTTCTCTCATTTCGTGCCAAGTTCTATTTGTGTGTTGGAAGTGCGCCGATCGCTCGAGTCCCGGAAGAAGACCCAGGAAAACTTCCTGTTTGAGCAGCTCGAACGAAAAGCAATTGCAAGTGACCTCAGCATCCAAGAGGGTAATAAATAAAACTGGGGTTTGTTACAGAGAGCAATTTTCAGTCGAGCATCAATAGTATTCCATTATTGTATTGCGTGTGCTTTGAATTCAGACTGTGATTGGTTCAGAAAACCCTTGCCAACCTTTAAACCAATCAGAGCCAAAACCAAGATAAATTAACGCGTATCATTTGCGCTTTCCTGCGCAGGAAACAAAACAGTTAAGTGGCTACCGAGCTCTCATTGGCTTTTGATAGTTTCCAACTCTTGCTTTAATTGGCAGCCCAGAGTTAGGGAGAAACACCAAGAAAACTTGGTGAAAAACATCTCGGCACGAAAGTTGTTTACTGCTAAGGCCGTCATAAACTCGAAACCAACACGAACTCACCCGAGTTTTTAAGAGGATACAAATCAAACATGTGGAAATTCACTTCTACAAGTTCGTGTTCAGACTATTTTATTACAAGTAAAAGCTTAACGTAACACCAATAACAAATAAGAGTACAATCATCACCAATCTAACACAAATTTTCTAGTTATTAAAAGGAACCTTGAGGAATGTCATGTTGGTCTTTGAAAAGATAGAACTAAACTTCACTTAATCAAATAATGAATTAAATTCATATTAGTCTCATTAGCTCCAGCAGGTTACTTACAGCAAGATTGTTCGTCGTATAAATTAGCAAAAAAAATCTTTAAAGAAAGTAACCCTTGCTGGGTATAGTTTTGATGTTCATAAAGCGCTTATGTTTAGTCATCTGGATTTTAAAAAATCGTGTTTGAAAACAGCATTTTGCTAACAAATCTTCGAGGTAAAACCCTTGCGAGTAAGTTTTTGACCGAGAAAATTTGCCAAACTGTGTAAAATTTTTTTCATCTACTTCGCCAAGGAAAATTGCTCGAGACGACTTGATACTGTAAATGCTTCTTTAAACCATGTAACTCCTAAGATCTCATTTGGAATTCTCCTTACTGTCTACCATACAATTCTTACGATGTCAATGTGGAGAATTTGGTATTGGATCAACCAATAATCCCCTAACTGATATTTTTTCTTATTCTCATCACTTCTATGCTTGATAATGTATTGCTATTGTAAGGAGAAATTATCTCTGAGTCACTCCTAGTTATCTCCTTAGGATGATGCTGAAGGTGAACAACATTCGCTCAGGTGAAATATATTATAATTAGAGCTTAATAGTAATATGAACAATTCAAGGCACGGCACCCACAAAGTACGATGCAATTTTACGTTGTTAAGTCAGTGTTAAGGCCGGAGAGGATATTTACTACAATTTACAATATGCTTATTAGGTCTTCATCTTTCCGAGGCGACAGAGCGTATTGGAACGTGAGAGAGGGAGTGGGAGTCTCAAACCATGCACATACCCCTGGGGTTGGGATTCTCAAACCAAACACATACGCCTACTCAACTTTCCCAGAATGTCCTACTGAGCGTGCTGTACCGATTCACGACGAAACATAGAGCCATTTTTTAATAAAGACGAAAGATGTATCAATAAACCAAGGAAGATCGCGAGAGTGATCATTTTTCCGAACCAGCGCGTTCAACAGTTTCCTCACCTACCGTGAGACGGGTCTGGGCCGCAAAATTTCGTTTGAGTCCCTACTTTTCCCACACACCCTGCCCCGCCACCTTTACATTAGTAAAGTACCCAATTGCCGTAAAATTTAAAATAAACCTAACCGAACAACGACGATATTGGATTAAAGAGTACGTGTTAAAATTACAAATACCTTTCTAGAAAAATTTGAACTAAAATTTTTGCCCAGCACAAACCGAGACATGTGTCAGGAAAAATTACCACGGCCAAGCCATTTTTTTTTTTCAGAGTGAGACGGGTTAACACATCACCTGATCATTTTAAAACTATTTCTCGAAGCCTGAAAAACATTTGCGGCAACTGTCTGGGTAGTTCTGCGGTGTAAAAAGACATTACGTGATGCAAGACCCACTATTACGTCTGCATCTCCTTTCAACGGAAAAAATCATCGTTTACACATCTGGGTACATGGTCTAACATCAATAAAGAACCCTTTTCGAGCAAGATTTGTTCTTTTCCTTCTTTTAGAACATCTGGACTCATAACTTGATCTAATTTTTCCTTCTCCATCCACGCACGGCTTGGAGCTGTACTTTCATTTAATTGCGCAGTAAGGGTGTTGTTGACGACAATTCAGGTTCTTTCCTAAGGAAAACAAAAGAGAAATCATGAAGGAGTTAAGGCAGACAAGTCGAACAAAACCACTTTTAACATTTCTAAAAAAAGACCCGTTCGAGGACCAGCTTGGTAGAGGATTATAGCTTGTTTGAAACTCGCTTCCTACCAACGTTCACCTCGCGTTCCACACGCGTTCACCTTACAATCAATCCTCGTTCACCTCGTGTTCAACTCTCGTTATCTCGCGATTAACTCTCGTTCATCTCGTGTTCAACTCTCGTTATCTCGCGATTAACTCTCGTTCATCTCGCGTTTAACTCTCGTTCTTCTCGCGTTCACCTCGAGTTAAAGCCACCTACTTGCGGGGGTTTGATGGGTATGGCAGCATTTGGGCGGCGTCTTGTCTGCTGTTGTTGCGGTTCTCCCTGGGATGGCTGTTGTTGCTGTTGTTGCTGCGAGTGCTGTTGTTGTTGTTGTACCATGGCAGCTTGTGGAGGATAAAATGTTCCTCCTCCTGCCATCTGGAGCCCGTACATCTACAGAGGTAATTAGGTAAAAAAGTTAAGCCTGCACACAAAATTGACTTGCATGGCTGCTGACGGTTACTGGGGTGTACGCGACTCGATGCATTGGTATTCCTTTTTCCCGGAAAGGAATTTAGTCCTTACCATTTTACCCTTCCTCCCCATCCACCCCCCCTCCCATCCCTGCCCCCTCCAGAGGAGAAGTTAAAGTTGAAGGTGAACGGCTACAATTGAACTTCTCATCATCAGCTTTAAGCCGATTTTACTCTTACGTGAAAGTATTTACTTCAGTTCTGAACAAGAGATCCTTTGGCTATTTTTCAACAAAGTTGTTACGATTATGGGAAAATAAAGTAGAATCAGAGTTGATTTGTACTGTTTGCCATTGCAATGATTGGAATGAGGTGCTCTGAGAGCAAAATATCTTGCGCAAGACAAAAGCAAAAAGAAAACTGACCCAGGCAGAATTTGAGCCCAGACAATCGCACTTTTGATAAAGTAACCCCGTCCTTCAGGGGTGCATCCTAATGAGAAATTAGTTCACGATTTACCAACTCACCTGTTGTCCCATAAATGGAGGCATTCCCATCATTGGATATCTGCAAACACAATCAACAAACAACCACAGCTGTAGGATTCACAGTTTAGGATCAATATTACGTCGCTTCGAAAGGAGTGAACAAACTTTAGACCCTAACTGCTTGTCTGAATGAATGCAAGGTTAGGATGCACCATGGATAGATCTAGATCCCTCTCGGGTTATTTTCATTACAAGGTATACGCCAACAAATTAGGCGTTTAAAAGGGGTTCCGAGTACTAATCGGAAATTCCTACCAATTTTTAAACTCATCTATTTCAAACGAGTCTGAAATTGTAAGGGGAGTGAACGGGTCAGCTACGGTTCAAACGCGAAAAATTCCATTAACGGCTCAAGCCTCTAAATATGACCAATTTCATGCAAAATTACCAAAAGAACTTACTGTGAATTGGTATAAATCTGGCCTGGGAAAGACTGGACACCAGGGAAATTTGGGTGCGGGACAAATCCTGCTGTTGAATGGGGGCTCATTCCTGCGGCTACCATATTTGGTTGAGGTACCGGAGCCATCGGACCTTGCATTCCTAAAAGACAAATCACCCAGTACTTAGACCCTTGGATTCTGCCCTCTGATCCTCTACCATTAGCTGATTCATGTCTGACCCGAGTCCTGCGTATTGCTCGGATCAGCCTAGTTTACCATAGAGTTCTCGTGGCTCAGCGGTAGTACACTGGAGAGCTGGATCCTAAGCTCTGAGGTTCGATTCCTCAAGGACACTCAAATTTATTCTTTTTATCTGTTTCAAGCTCGTGACAAGAGCATACACGTCTCTCTGTTCGTTGTTCGGGGAAGGGCTTAATTCTTTATTCATTTTTTCGTTTTTGATACACGTAGAATAAACACAACCTTCACCTTGCGGAGCCTGTAACTGTAAATGAGCAGCCAAAGCCTGTTGTTGTTGGGGGCTCATTCCGGGCTGAGGAACTCTTTGGGGTGATACTCCCTCTGAGCCCATTCCTTGCTGAACAGGCAAAGCCCCTTGTTGAAGGGCAGCAAGCTGTTGTTGTATCATGCTCTCATGCTGGAGAGCCCCCATTGGTTGAGGACCTGGCCCAGCCATTGGTATCCCAGCAGGCATTTCAGGCTGTTCTGCTGATAAATTTTATAGAGTGATAAATCAGATTGGTTTTAACTGCCTTTTTCTTTATTTCTCAAGGCTATCGAGGCAAAACGGTAAAAATTAATATAAGCTAATTAGCACCTGGGGCTACTGCCATTTCTTGCCGCAGAATGACATCCGGTTGCTGTGGAATAACTGGCATGGGAACAGTTTGTGTTGGTGGAGTTCCCGCAGGTACATAAACACCCTGAAAGGCTGAAAGTGACAAATCAATCACTTTAAGACCATACATAGTAAATGACGTCCTTAACAACCATCTTGTGCAACACAGCACAGAAAAAGCGGAACCACATGGAAGTACTGCTCAGTAACTTTCATATCAAAGGTCAAAAACTAGGATTTTATCTGCAGACAAAGTTAGAATCACCTTGTACAACATGAAAGTACTACTTGGTAGCTTTCCTACTCACGCATTTGCTCATAGTAAGCAGCTTGGTCAGGGTACATTGTACCCATCTGTGGAGCCATGGCCTGGTGAACCTGCAGGGGGACTTGCTGACTTGCTCGCTGCCTCTGTGATGAGTATCGTTTGGGTTTGGCAGCAGGAGCACCTTGGGATGCTGCAGCACTTGGTGATCCAGACACACCAGCTCCTTTCTTTGGTGAAGATTGCTTTGATCGCTTCCCATCCTGTTTTCTAGAGGCAGTTTGCTTTTCATCTGTAATGATTGTGGTAAATTTACAAAGACTACGATGAATCGTTTCACAAACTCAATGTGCAACCCAAGTTGTACACCAACATTCATTTAGAAAAGAACCACATAATCGCAAAAGATAACTGAAAACTGGTGAATGCCACTCAGTCAGTCAGTCAGTCAGCCAGTGAGTCAAACAGTTTTTCAGTCAAATGGTCAGTAAATCAATGCGGTAATTAGTCAGTCAGTTAGTCTGTAAGCCACGAAGTCCGTCAGACAACCAGTCTGTCCGTCTGTCAATCAGACAGTGAGACGGTCGGTCAGTCTGTCAGTCAGTCATTCGGTGAAGCGGTCAGTCAGTTAGTCTGTCCGTCAGCCAGTCTGCGAGTCGGTCAGTCAGCAAGTCAGTCAGTCAGCCAGTAGGTTAGTTACAACTCATCAACCATACATAAAGCCAGAGAACCCTTTACTTGAAATCACAACTCACCTGCTTGCTCTGTTTCAACATAAGCTGTACCATTCTCTTCAACAACCTGCGTAAAAAAATGGTTACACCACACAACAATTAGAACTGCTGATAACTACCTCTGATAAAAAGTACCAAACAGTATTATTCCTCTGTTACGTCATTTTACCGCAATAAAGCAACAGAACGCGCTAAACATGCCACACTAGTGAAACGACAGTGAAAAAAAATTCGGACGGAAAGCGGAGCAGCAAAATAAATTGCTGTACTTACCGATCCCAACTTTTATTTGTCTGCCTCACTTAGGCTTCACTATTCAAGCGTCACACTTTTAAGTAGAACAGGTTCTTTTGTTTGTCATAAGACATTAAATTGATTTCGTTTGTGTTGTTTTGGTCTTTCGAGCACATGTTGTGCGATCAATACAATTCTCATATGGCGCCATAGGATGTATTTCGAAAAGTAAAAGCAATATTCAAAAAATGAATCAATAGTGGATTAATAAATTCCTAAATCGACGGTTTGACATAAAACACGAACACAAATTTTGCCCGTCGTTACGCAACTTGTGAAACATCCGCGCCTATCATATCTCAGAAGATCGATCAACCCTTTAATTCCCATAAGTGACCGAGACAGAATTTCTCCTTACAATTTCAATACAATATCACGAAGACAAGTGATGAGAATAAACACAAATATCAATCAGGGGATTATTAGTTGATCCAAGACCAAATTCTCCAAACTAACATCACAAGAATTGTGTGGCAGACAGTAAGAAGAATTGCTATTGAGATCTTGGGATTAAAAGGGTTAACGTGAAACTCACCTCTTCATCTTCCTCGCCTTCATCTTCCAACTCTTCCGGCTGCTCATGATCTAAAACCCCATCTTCAACATCTTCTTCATAATCCTCTTCAATTATCACATCTCTATCATTTTCTTCAGCATCTTAAAGCAAAGACGGCATCTTAAAAATTGGGATGTACTCTTGAGTGGAGTGAGAGACTCGGTGGCCTGGTGCCAAGCATCCTTAACTACTCAAGGAGAGTACTAAGCTACTTCGCTCGCTAAATACCACCTTGACAATTAAGTGTTGCTATTTATGACATCTAAACTGAGGTGTTTTTAAAAAATCCAGGAAGTACATAGGAAAACTCTTGCAGACTCTTGCTCACCTTCAAAGTGTTTATCTTCCGCAGCCTTTTTTCTCCTCTCCTGTTCTTCCTTCATTTTGGCTTCCTCTCTTTCACGGGTGAAATCTGCAGCATTCTTTCTTGGTTTCTTCAGCTCCTGCGTCTGGCCTCTCCCTCGTCCTCTGCCTCGGAGTTTACTGTAGCTGTGAGTTGCAGAGGACGGCTTGGCTTGTTCCTCTCTTGAATGTTTCTCTTCCTCATTATTTTGAATGTCATCTCTTGGAGCTTTTTTAGATCTTGCTTCCCTCGAATCGTTCTTACTTCTAGAGGAGGTCAAGGAAAAGACAGGTACATGTTAAAATTACCTCCAGATGTAGAAAGCAAACATGCACACCATCACAACTTACTATATTATACTCTTGTTCTTTAACCCTCCTGGTTCAATACACTTTTCATGAGTTTTTTTTTTCCATATTCAGTCAATCATTGGTTTAATTTTGTTAAAAGATCAAAAGTACAATCATCTCCGTGTCCTGTCTTTACATCACATCTAACAACAGCTATGTGGATTGATCAACGACAGAGTAAAAAAATGACAAATCAGTTAAATGTCGCTACGCTTTCCGGCAGTAAACGAGGAAAAACTTCACTAACAGTACAGTGTAAACACAATGCTGTATCTACAGATTTACACTTCACCTGTCTTTTTGTGCACTCCCAAAACCTCCGCTTTGTCGTTTCTGTCCCTCTCCATCATACTCGTTCTGCCTCCTGTCCACTCTTGAACCTCCTCTGTTCCTGTCACCAAATCCCTTCCGGCTTCCTCCCTGTTCGTCTTGATTGTCTCGTCTTTCTTCGTTATCTCTTCTTCTAGGTGGTCTCTGATCTCTGTTTTTCACCCTTGCCTCCTGCTCACGATCAGGCCTTCGATCAAAATCCCGTCTCCTCCTGTCGTCATATCGCTCACCTCTGTTATCGCGATCACGTCTTCGTGTATCATCGTATTCCTGATCATCATCATCATCCCTCCTTTGCCTACGATTTCTCTCATTTCTCCTTTGAGGTCTCTCTTCAATCTCTTCACGATCCTCGCCCCAGTTTCTCCGTCTATCTGACCTTCTATCTCTGTCTTCCCTGTCTTCAGCATCATTTCTATCATAATCCTCATATTTATTCCGCCGTCCCGTATTTCTCCCGCGCCGTCCAAATCCCCCTCTTCGACTCTCCCCGTCCTCTTCAGAATTTTCCGAAGTCTGCCTTCTCCTTCTTCGTTGCTCAGGAACTCGGTTTTCTTTATTTCTTTCATTTTCCTGGAATTCTTCTTCATCCATTCTCATTCTCCCCAATCCTCCTCTTCCACCTCTGCCCCCTCTGCCCCCTCTGCCCCCCCGTCTGCCCCCCCGTCTGCCCCCACCTCTCACAAATTCCTGAAGATCATATCTCCTCCGCCCAGGACGTCCACCGCTTCCATCCAGCCAGCGTTTTGTTTCCTACCATTTTAAAAAGAAGAAAAATGCTATTCAGTCTTGGTTTTAATAGCTCCAAATATAATTTATAAGCAATTTTTTTACAGTATCATTCTGCCAAACTTTAAAATTCACACAACATGGATGGTTTCATAAAGTGTATCCAGGGCTCAAATGTAAACTTCGTAATACTTTTACTACTTTCAACTTATTATTTTGAACGCATTTTTATCAAACTAGTCAAACTCACGGATTAGTTAAGTGCGTTTGATGCAGCGTAGGAATGAATAGTTTTTTCTCAACATAATAAAATCCAGTGTCTTATAAAACCTACACCCATTGAATGGCTCACAGTTCTGATTTAAAGTAACTCATGTCGTTCAATCAAATTGTTCCAATCTTCACATGGCACTAAGCCGCAAGTGAGCCAACCCTCAGCAATTCACTTAGCCTGTGGAATTCAAATCTCTCACATAAAATCAATGGAAGTTGTTAGCCAATCTTAGACGACAACAAAACCCTGCAATTGCACAACATTCAGAAAGAAGCAACATAACTAACATGCATTGTCTGAACGTCAAACGTAATAAAATTGACTTTTGCTATGATTTGTCTCCTTACCTCTATTTCTTCTCTAGTTTTGGGTCCCTGTTCATCTTCCCTGTACATGTCATGTTCCCAACGGTCAGTTGTTTTGTCCCACAACTGTCTTGTTGTTGGTTTCCTTCTGTTAATATAAAAATAAAAATTTATTGACTTCAAATCATCTGTTCAGGGTTTTCTTTGAGGTTTTAAGTAGCCGGAGCTCTTTTAAAGGTAAACGGTAAACGGTAAACGGTATTCATATCTCGAAATCCGATATGGCGGACGAAACGTCATATCATTTGTACTTTCAAAAAGACAGTCCCCATCAGAACGTTTTTAAACTGACCTTGAGTCAGAAGTCTTTTAATGTTTTCAGAAAAGATAGGCAGTGCAAATTTATATTTTTATTGAGCCCAAGTTTAGACCTGATAAACATCATCTCTGTACTCGAAGCAATGAGAGTAGCCAGCGAAACCTTGCAGAGAAGCCGGCGTACTTTGCCGGCTGCCGGCTCTTATCTACAACCCTGTCTGTTAAACATTGTAAAACCACATATTATATTGACAAGTAACCATTGAAAAATTCAGCATCCTAATTGTTTATTCTCTTTTACCGTTTTATCTTAACCCTTTACAACCTGACATCAGTAGGCAAATTCTCCACACTGTTCTCTATATATTTCTAAAGGTGCTGCCAAGGAGAATTTGTTTAACAATCAAGAGCTTATTTAGTTAATGATCATTTCCTTTTTTTCTCGTGACCTCCATGTTTGATTCAGCTGTGATATTGTAAGGAGAAATCAGATGCTGGTCACTCTTGGATGTCAAAGGGTTAACATATTATCTACCAGCATTTTTTTTATTGGTACCCCTGCAGTATCTTGTAGTCTGAGATACTTTTTGTGTGGTCAAGAATGTAAAATTTAAAAGCTTTTTTTGACATAGATAGGTTATTCTCAGTTAAAATTGTCGATCAAGGAAAAAAAAAATAATGGGATGTTGTGGTGTTAAAAAAACAAAATTAAATCGAAAAAAAAACATTGATGTGAATCTGTTAAGCTTCAAACCAAGACCGTAAGAACACGACCATTAGTGTGCTTGTCAAATACAAACTCACGGAATCACATGACTGTAATAAATAGATCAATAATATAAATAAAGTCATGAGAGCACTATGGACCTTTCATCATCAGGTGTGTCAGTCCATCTGTCGTCATGCCCCCAAAAGGCATCTCTACGTGGAATAAAAGCTGGGTTGTTCTTTTCTTCTTCTGCCTCCTGAAGAAAGAATTCAACTGTCATTCCATTTACATCACTTATTGAAAGGTTTGCTTGGAAATTAAGTTAGGTCCAAATTTACACCATTTTTTTTTTTTATAAGTTATGGCATGATAAGCGTTATTACCTCTCTGCATCAGAAATTAATTAGAGGTTAGCCAATTTCAAAGAAATTGGCTTGCTGATTTCTGGAACCAAAGTTTTCTTGTACATGCTTGAACTGATTGAAAAACCTTTAAATTTCATAACTTTTTTTGCAAAATATTAACCCTTTCCCTCCAAAGACTTCATTACAAATAATCCAAACCTTCTACCTTGATGTAAGTTTGGAGAATTTTGTATTGTATCAACTAATCATTCCCTACTTTATATTTTCCTTTATGCTTGCTCGCACTTGTCTGTCTGCTTAATATTGTATCAAAAAAGGAGAATTTCTGTCTTAGTTAGCCATGGGAGTTTAAGGCTGAAGTGTTATGCAACACTACATGAGTGATTACTTATATGTGCTGCTTATACACAAGTGTGGCTTATACACGAGTTATTATGGTACTTTTAAAGTAATAAGCTGAATTATCCAGGCCTTTTGATTGATTCTTACTAAGGGTGAAGTGTTGTGCTACACTACATGTGTGATTACTTATACTTGCGGCTTATACACAAGTGCAGCTTATACACGAGTAATTACAGTACTTTTAAAGTAATAAGCTGAATCATTCAGGCCTTTCGCTTGGTTCTTACATACAAACACATAGATGATGTCATTATTAACAGTTCTTTTGCTTCTGTATCACATAAACAAATTGATTCTGAGTTGCTGTGGGTCTGTTCAGTAATGGATCACAGAAGACATCCAAAAGTGGTAAGAGCATCAGTAACACACTTGGCTGCACCTTGTGCGCCAATTTTTTTTTTTGTTTGTCACTGCATTTTGATGTCATTTGTGATCTATTACCGGACAGACACATGGCAACATAGAATCTATTTGTAAATCAGACCTCCTCTGGATTCTGAAATAGAAATGTGTCATGTATGTTTTCTCAAGTGTCTCACCTGTCCATCCCCTCTTTCTCTTGCATTCACTTTATTTTTACTTTCTTCCTGCTCATTTCCCGTTTTGTCTTCCTCTTCTTTTACTTCAATGTCTTTGTCTTCGCCAACTCTTTTGTATTCTTCGTCATCTACTCCTGCCTCCTCTTCACTTTGCTTTATTGAATCACAAAAATAGTAAAGTTGATGAACAAAAATTGATTTTAACCAAAGAATTAACAAGGCCTTGCTCCAGTGGTTTCAAAAAATTCTTATAAGATATGGATCATGATTACAAAATGATTGCTTCCTCTTTATGGCCAAAGCACACCAGTGTGGTTAATGAGCAAGATAAGTTATCGTTTTCACATTTTTTCAATTTAGGAAATAACTTCCTCTTCAGTAAAATAAACATTCAGCAAGTCCCAAAACAGAACAACAAATTCTTAGTGCAACTGTGAAAGTCCAGGTTATCGTATAATATTTTGTAGTTTAAATTTATCTTTGTTGTAGAACCAGCTCGATTTTCATTTTCTGTCCTTCCAGAAAATCCAATAGAGCAACAAAACAAACATGAAAGGAAGTAAAGTTAAACTGGTTCAAAAAGGTTTGAGCCAGAAAAAAATTGTAACTCGATTGAAATCACTATGGCCATTGAACTATGGCCAGGAAAATGAAAAATTATCGAAGGTTATTCATTAACCCTTTGACTCCTTGGAGTGACCAGCATTTAATTTCTCCTCACTCTATCCCCCTGAATCACACATTAAAGTCATGAGAATAGTGGAGATGATCACCAACTAAAGAAGCTCCTGATTAGTATAAAAATTCTCCTCATCTAAACCTTAAGGAATGTATAGAGAACAGTTTAGAGAATATGCATACTGATATATACAGCTTTGGGTCTCACAAATGCAAAATCAACTTACCTCTTTGTCACTGGCGCTGTGCTCAGAGTGAGACCCTGAAGACTCTGTCCCTGTTGTGTATTCATCACTGTCTGTTTCCCCTTCGCTTTCCTCCTCACTTTCCTCATCTGAACCATCTTCTTCCACATCTTCACTACCAGCAACAGCTCCAGGCTTATCATTTGCTTTTCCATCCTTATTATGTTCAGGCTTTGCATTGTGTTCAGGCTTCACCTTGTTATCCTCCTGATTAGTGCGTGGCTTTTCATTAGGTATCTGACCAACTAAACCAAACATTTTCACTTTCAGGGGTGAAAAACATGACATTTCTCCTTACATTGTCAATGCGTTGTCAGTAAAAAAGTTTCAAGAAAAAATGTATCAAGGACATTGTTGGATTTAATTCTAAATTCTCAGGGCTCAAATAATAAGAAATTTATGGTAGAAAGTGGGTAGAATTTATATTTATAGGGAGTAAAAAGGTTAATTTAAATGAAACTTGCATGAGTGAATATTTAGATATTTTTATCCCAATGGAATCACTTCAAGGATGATCACTAACATTTCAAGAGCAAAATTATTCATCACAGTTACTTTGACTCAGATAAAAACTTCATAAAAGATCAGTCACCTCCACTTATTAAAGAGTTTGAAAGTTGAATGCTGATAGACCAAACGAGCAAACAAACTATGAATCACAGAGACAAGCAAACTGAGAACAAAAGAAATGAAAACCAGATTTGAAATAAAAACTTCCAAAATGTTTTAAGACTGTGCTCTTATTCCAGTTGGAATATCTACACCCAAAATGAAAATAAAATATAAAAAGTGTCACAAGTGTTCGAACTTGACATTCAAGAACGTTTGATCGCGTCAGTTACTTAACTTCGTAGCGTTCGAAGTGTCTATCAAGCATAATAACAATTCTAACCTTCTAGAACCGCGTCCTCTTCTACGGTGGAGAGCGTTGTTTGTCCCTCCGATTCTACCTACAATAAAGTCCAACTTTAGACGAAATCTTTGCAAATCGCTTCCTTAGGAAAGAATTAAACCAGACTACCTTACTACGATGAAGCTTAATGACAGCAAAATACCTTCTCGCCAACACGAGGAGTTGTCTGCGAATCGCTCTTATCTAGAACCACAGAATCTGTCATGACTAAAATTGATTTTAACTGTAAGTTTACTATCACTTGCGTGATTTCGTTGAAAGTAAAAGAGGAATTTTTAGCGAATTAAAATTTTGTCGACACAGCACGCTGAGGCCGCCATCTTGAAAAGCTGCTCAGAGAGTTGATGCGCATCTCACAAATTGAAATACTGCTAGAGTGGCTATAATGAAGGCGCACGCAGATCTACTTGATATCTAGAGGTGCTGAAAAGCAGACTGAAATATAGTGACATTTCATTTGCCGAGCCGAGAGATGAATAGCAAAAGTTCAAAGGAACCGAAAGTATAATGCCAGGCTTGCAAAACTCTCGGACACTTTTCGAGTAAGTTTTGCGAGACTTAAAGGGTGTTTCTCGAGGCGCTCACAAGGACTGTGTATCCTCTCTCAAAATTTGCGTCCTTCTTATTAGGGCTGGTTTTTACCTGGGACGGAATCAGGGTAATAAGAGCACTTCAGATTTTTATTTTCCCACATAGATTTTCGTGCCAGAGCCCTACAGATATCTCGGGCGTTCGCTTCGCTCGCCAGCTCAAATCTCGTGGGGCTTCGCCGATAGTGCCACAGGGTTATTCAGAGCTTGCTTGCAGGCTATGCAGGAGTGATAAGAAGCACATGGCAGACTTCTCTTTTCAAACAAACGTCCACCAAACTACCAGCCATACAGGGTCAGGATAGGCTGAGTAACGCATAAAATGTACGCGGCAACGGAAGTATTTTAACGCACATCGGGCGGCAGTAACCCTCCGGGCTCTTTTGTGTGCCGCTCCAACCCGCCGCCGCTCAAGCGCCGCTCCAGTAACAAGAGAAGAACAACACACTCGTAGTGGAAACAAATGAACAATTTCAATCTTTAATGAAATTAATAACAATAGACTCTCTCAGTGTAGCGTACGGGAGAACTTTCAAGGTTAAAAGATGGAATCCTAAAGCTTGGTAGAATACGTTAAACACAGGCGACAGGTTTGACCTCTTTCCACCAATCGTCTGGGTAAAGGTATCGTTGAATCTCAATCCCTCCCCTGGGTACCGGCATTTTGAAGAAACCAAATGGAACTCGTGGTAGCGGTTTTATTATTAATCGGGTAGGAAATGTATGGTAAAATCTATAATGCAGCCAAAATAGCCATGACTCCCAACCAGCTCTTTTCATCCATCCACGATGGTTATTAAAAACAAACAACTCGACCCTATAAAGAGGCAGATCGTCGGTGGTAATTTTAAGCAATTTTTTCATCCTCCATAATTTCTGATTCACTTTCAGTCCTTGTGACTCAAAAGCTGACACAAACTGGTCTAAATTCATCGAAGCTATCCATTCTGAGCCATTGAGACCAATGTCAACATCATAATCCCATGGTAAAGGACCCTGAACGCGGATTGCCCCAAACACTGATCCGTACATTAGCCAGTGATCTATGCCAACCTGTTCAAGAATCTTGTGAACTCGGTAAGTCAGATTTAAGAACTTTTCTCCTTGTGTTTTGCTGAAGTACTGACATTG